AAAAAAAGGCACCAAGAAGTAACAACCAGCCTTTGATCTATAATTTCCTGTGCTGTTGCTAAACACACAGTGAATGTGTTTTTTTTACTTCTAGAAGGTTTACTGAAGCTCTGTATGTTACTTTTGAGATCAATGGACTGATTTAAGAATAACTAAAGCATTAAATGCTGGGAAAATCTTACACTGGAGATCAGGCATAATGATGTTCTGGAAAATACACTGCCTCGTGTCCAGCTAGAATCTTGCATGTTATGGTAAATATAATTCCATTTGCTTATATTATAAGGAATTCTATTAAGCTGCTGTGTTTGCTTTTACACTAACTGGATGGTCTGAGCTCATCTCATCCTTCTCTGAATATCCGGTGAACTAGCTCCCTGATGCTGACATAGATGCTGACATATTGTCCATAAGCTACAGCACTGCATGTTGCCCATCTGAAGCCATGGCAGTTTGTTGATGGTGCAGAGAAAATGCAGATGCTTCAGAACCCTCTTCATGAACACAACCTCCAATTTCTCTATCAGAAGACATGTGTGCTAGATGTCCAGTGGCTTACTGCTGTCCTGGGATGGTTTTGGACATTTCATCCTCTGTCAGAGCCTGTAAAACCCGGTGTTCAGACTCATTAGTGTGTCTTACTTCAAAGGTGGCAACACTGCATCTTTCTGCATGGAGATGAAAACCTGCCCTGCAGTACTTTTCAGGTTATATCAGAGATTTTCCAGTTAGAAGCCCTTGTGGAAATAAATCCATCACTGAGGTATATAGGAAAGAGCATTACTTCAATATGTTTGAACTGTTCTCTGTGCAACAAAACAAATCCTGAGACATGCGAGAGCAGCCTGAAACCCTAAGGTCAAAATTACCTCCAATTCATCTGACAGAAACAATGACCCTTTCCAGTATTCTGTTTCACTGGTGCAGTACAAACCAGATTGGTGCTGTATTCACGAAGTTTCCAATTTTGTTTTGAATTTATTTCTCCATACTGCTGGTCTTACGTGTGACAGAGTAGACTGAAGGGGCACTGGCAACCTCATCAGTTTCACAGCACAATGGTATCATTTTCCAGTACAGTTAAATTTATTACACTATGGTCCTATGAAGTGGTTTGACATGCTTTCAACTAGTTAAATAACAATTTGATGGGATGTGAAAACCACAGGAGTCAGGAAGAAGGTAATGGTCTGTGAGTGGGCCTTATCGGTCTTGCTACACTGACACTTACGGTTTCAAGGGGAGCTAAATACAACACATTTAGAAGCCTCATGCAAGAAGTGATCTGGGTTGGGCTTCACATGGGAGTAGAGATTTCTGCTCTGCTTGCCAGTGACTATGTTAGACTAGTGTTTGTTGCTTTGGCACTTTGTAGAATGTGGAAGAAGCAACAAAGAATCCTTCACTAAAGGAGGAAATGATGTGTGGGAATGTGGAGCCTTAGGTCCTTGAAAAGGAAAAATAATATATCTCCTGTTTTGTAAGCAATTATTTTAGTTTAGAATTAAGGTAACTTCAGGCTAACAGAGTAGCCAATAGCAGGAACTGGAGGCAGTAATTTTTGCATGAAGTTAGGACTGCAGTAGGTATCCATTAGGATAGGCGCAGCATGAAGCTGTAGAAATGTCTCATGCAGAATAGTGATTAGCTTTATTCTCGAAGTGGCCTGCTTTCACAGTAGCTGGATCAATTGGCTATGCACATGCTGTGGTTGCTTTTCATTTTGCTTCTTTCAAAACCTATAGAACCCCTTGTATGTTGACTGCAATTTCAGCACTGCTACTAATTCGGCATCACCATTTCACTATTATCTAATAAAAAAAACCCTTTATTCTCAGATGCAAAATGCATTTTCAGCTCTGAGCTCCTGGTAAAATATCTTACATTAATGAAATTATAAATAGCAAGGGCCAGTTCTGTGCCAGTTCTAACAGCACAGAAAAGAACACATTGTGAAGGAAAATGCACCAGGTTTTTGTCACCCAATTTTGTTGTTTATAAAGCAAGTGCTTGTGAGAAAGACAATTCTGATTTCATAGTTCAATTTGAATACAGCCGTTGTAGAAGTCTCTACTCTTATTTCATCACACATCCAAGTAAGTATACACAGGCACACATGCATGGTGACAAAAGATGCCTGGTGGACCTATTTTCATGTCTTGCTGTGGTGACTGTGTATCCAATACAGTACATTTTTTGCCTATGCAGTTCAGAAAGCACCATCCGTAGTTCTTTAAAATGAGCCTGTTACCAAAGGACTAGTTTATGTGAAAACAACTGTCAGAAGATAAGATGGCTTCGGTGTTCTGAAAAACTGGGAGTCAGCTAGGAAGGGATTTCCATTCAGACCACGTTGGTAACGTGAAGGTTAGACCACAGAAAGCTCTGTCAAACTACACCAAATGAAATTTAAGTTGAAGCTTAGAAGACATCTAAATACAATTGCATCTTGCTTTCAGGTTTTGGTAAAAAGTAAACTGCATATCTTTTAATGTATGTTTAGAAATGGCCCATTCTGCTCTGACTTGCACAGAAGTGCAGATCTAAGACTTGAATATAGAGCTAAAATTATGTTGATTTTTGCTGCATTTTTGAAGTGATTTAATTGTGTTTTGAAGTGTTTTGCTGGTGCGTGCATTGAGTTTACTAACACTGTCCTGACCTTGGCGATGGTGTGGTATTTTACAGTGTGCAGTGACATTCCTGTGCCCAACTTGGCTCCAATAAATAGGTTAACTTCCACAAATTATATGTAATGTTTGAAACAGTACAAGGTGATTTAATAGTTTTGTATTTGGCCTTTTGGATTCACGAGTGGGGCAGTTCACTGGGCAGTCCTGTCCCAGCTACAAATCCACAACTCCACACAATTTTTTCAGGTATAAGGGGTCAAGCTAAAAGTGTTGGGGAAAGAAGTAGGGTCGTATATTCTTGCACACCCAAACCCCAAATACATGGCTTAATTAACAGCTGACAAATTTACACTAGAAGAATGAGTTTAAATTTTAGATGATATTCCTTATACATCCCAATAGGCTGTAATGGTAATGATGGGCAGCATAATTGAAAGCCCTTACTGTTAGTACTCAGACATTGGGAATAAGATTCAGAAATGTTCAACTGTAGATGCTGGACAAAACATCTTTTGGTTTTCAGAATCTAGCCATGGCTCATATGGATTTGGATTTCACTTCACACAAACATCTACTGGCTATTAGGTGCCAGCTCTGGTTCTTTAATATGACAGGTTTTAAAAAATAGTGGTCTTGAAGCTCCCCTTTCATTTGGCCTAAATTCATGTAATTTTGCTGCTACTAAATCACACAGTAACTTTTACAATACCTGTTTATATAAATCAGACAAGAATCAGAGGATCTATATGTGACCTTAAAATAAACTGAAGCCTCTGATTAAAATGAATAGATATACAAAGCTAGCAATGAGAAGCAAGCACACTGATTTAAAATATTGTTCTTACAATTATGTTGCTTGTTCAAAGAACAGTTTATACATGTTATAGTTGGTAGCTAAACTGCAATTTAGCTTAAATTTCCAGACTCTGATTCCAAGTTGTTCTTTATTTTGTTTTTTAAGTAAAGTGTCTGAAGTTACTTCTGCTATGTATTCTTATTCTTGGGTAAGCTTTCCAAAGGATATGAGTCACTTCTCCATTATTTGTAAAGAATATGGAAAAAGTAAAATATTATTTTGTGGGTATTTGGAACTTAATGTAAAATAAAAAAAGAAAAAAGGCGGGATGTTGATCATTGTGAGTCATTTCTTGGGAAGAAGGGAAGAACAAACACTAGCTGCTGACCTACTGCTATGAAAGCCAAGGACTTACTGCTGACTCAAGAAATAAATGTTAGCTGCAGAACATAAAGGAGACCTTGCAGCAGGATTAAAGAGGAAAGTCTTTCCTCTTTAAGTAATACAGAGGTACAAGGAGCTGCCTGTGTTGCCTTCTTGGAGGTTGTTCCTTGTTTAAACATTCTTCTAGTTTAAACATGCTAGCCAGTAGGAACTACATCCTGCAAACAGTTGCTGCCGCAACTAAATGATTCTCCTGAATTTCCACAAGTCCTGGCAAATCTTCAGGTAGGTCATGCAGTGCAAGGCTGAGCTTCACAGCACTGAGCTACACCAGTAACTGCCAGTGCAACCCCCTACTGTTTCTGAGTCCTGGTTGGTATAGATATTGATACAGACAAAACTGGAGCAACATAAATACTCTGTAACACATTTGCATTCTGATCAACTAATTGAACAGAGCCTATTCTGGTATCAAAACTGATTTTTGAAAGTAACTTGGTGTCATTGTGGCCTTTGTGTACTTTATTGATAGCAATCAGCAGCTGCACTGAAAACTACTCAATACTTACATGTGCAATTACACAGCGTACCAGTAAGGCACACACAACACAAAAGACAATGAATTTAATAATTACGAATTAACCATACTTCTGATTTGTCTGTTCTTTTCTAGCTGCAGTGGATACACTGTGATGAACTCTAATTATTTTTTGCAGGTGTGTTCAATTGTTTGTTGCATTTTGGTTTTTAATGAGAAAAGCTGCCTTCCAAATGCAAGGATGCAGTTCCATGGCAGCCTGAGCCAATTTAAGCCATGTCTACTATTTTTCCCTGCCCCTTCTCATTCTCTTTCTTTCTGATGTCTTTGTGCTAGCACAGGCACTTTAGCAACTCAGTAGTGGGCCAGTTCAGAGTGCTGACCAAAAACTAATTCCAAACACTGATTCCAGTGCTGGTAAGTGATGAACTGGGAATGAGCAGTAGGATAGGATTGTCAGGAACATGGCAGTCAGTATTTACGTTTGAAACAGCTGCTGTGAAACTGACTCTGAATGGAGGTTTTCATGAAGAAACAAGTATAAAAATGTGCTTTGTCATTACAAACTAAGATTATTTTTTTTAAGACTTCCAGTAAATATTTAAAATTCTAATTTTAATGCTAATACTAATAAAAGTAGTACATGCTCTGTGATCTTTATAGGAGTTTATTCACTGTTACTTCAAAGTAAACCTAAAGCATTGTTAACAGCTTGGATGCCACAGCTCTAACAAGTAAAATGCTACATTAAAATGTTCACGCTTTACCAAAATCAGTGTGGATTTTTTAGAGCATAAGTGTTTAACAGTCCAACAGTCTACCCTGGAATGTTTCCTTAGGGATGCAAATGGATCTGTGTGCCTAGCTGTTATTTCATTAATGTCAGTCAGAGGGCTCATGTGGCCACTTCAGATCCTTGAAAAAGGAACCTTTGCAGCTTTGGATTTGAAAACCACGTTCAAGTTGCAACTCTGGAACGGCTGATCTCCAACCAATAAACCGCTGGGTAGTCTTAGGTACTGGAGGAGATGGAAGCACCTGAAATAAAAGTAACATGTAGAATTCAATGATTAAAAGGGTTTTTGGTGGTAGTTTCTCTCATGCAACATCCTCTTTTGTACTGTAGTGTGGGTGGAAATGAAAACTTATGAAAAATAGTGCTTTTAAATGCAACTTGCTGAATTAATATCCTGAGCACACACTGACATTAGTGTTAGGAAGTAAGAACTTTGAAAGATAGCCCAGTTGCAAGCAAGTTTGATATATAATACATGATAGTTTATAATTTAGAAAGTCGTTAGAATAATTTCGGTTCCCTTCTATAGCAAGGCAAAGAGAGGAGTAAACCTGCCAAATTCCAATGAACTAACTTTCATTTACCACCCTTCTAAAAAAACAGCCTTTTTAGTGCCTAAACTGGCATGTTTAACGGGAAATCAAAACAAAATATTTTTTAGTATTGTATGTTAGCGTACTTAAGTATTATTCCATACCTTTCTACAGGCTTTACTGGCTTTATGTTATTAGAAGCATCCTATCTTCAGCTTTAAGTTTTTTCCTTAAATAATAATAATACTTTAAAACTAGTTAACTTCTATGGGAGAAATAGCATTTTATACTTCCTGTAATGTATCTGGTAGCAATGCAGAGACAGAATAATAGTTTTGTGGCCAAATGCTAAAGATACTACTGACCAAGCTGCCTTTTGCATCAAGAACTACTTATTCATTCCACCTCATTTCTACTTTAAAGAATGGGTAAGCATCAAGTTAATCTGCAACTAATCTAGCTAAAAAGGAAACAAAACAAAAGCCAACAGACTGTTCACCGGCTGCTGCGCTTACTTTGGCTGAATCATCTCAATTGGGCACGTTATATCATTTTAGCATCTGGGGACTTAAAGAAATACACAGCAAGAGAACAATGTTTCAGTTCTCTTGCCAGAGTTGCTTCACTTTGTTCTTTGGCCAAGATTAGAAAATGTTTATGATATTTAGGTGGAGCAGTTCCTCTGAAAATATTATTTTTATGGCCAAAAGTGCCACCCACTGAGCAGGATAATGAAGGAAACCATGTCCCACTTGCAGTCTGGGGGAAAGGACTATGAAGAAGTAATTATTAATCTAACCTAGAGAGAAGAACAGATACGATGACTCTTACCATGAAGGTATATGTGTGAAGAGATACATAGTTCTGTATAAGGACTTAGAAAACTTCTCTCTGAATATGTACGGGGGACCTAAATCACAAGTAATCTTTATCTTCCTTAGCAAATAAAGACTCTGAGGTGAGATGGAAACCATGATCCTTGTTTCAGTATGCACTAGTCTATGCATGATACTTCAGCAGCTGATAGCTGTCTGCATGATTTGCTAACACACATACACCCTCACTGTGCTGAAGCAGAGGTAAACTTGACTGAAATTGGAGTCTTGGGACAAAACTGAAGAACAAGTAGCATTAATGGCAGAAATGCTGCTATTTAATTTCTCTGCCACGCTCAGCACTAACTCTTTTGTTTCAATTTAATCTCAGTGAAAGCTTTTACTACTTCCTCGCTTTATTTCCCCACCCTTGGAATCCTTTGAAAGAAAGCTCGTTCAGCAAGTAGGAATTTCCAATCTCTTTTGTTTCCTTAATCTACTCTAAGTGGACTAGCATTCCTTTTTGTTAGCATATTCTGCTTCTCCTTTTATGAATATGGTCCTCTCCCAGTGTCACTGATTTAGCTGCCTGTGTAGTTACACTATTCACTGGTGATTCTGACACCTTATAAGTCAAACCATCAGTCACATTCCACTCTCATTTCCAGCTGTTTGACAACTTTCAGATTCTGAGTATGCGAATATAACTCACATAATATAAAATCAGATAGTTATTAACTGGCCCATTAGAACTGGCTTCTTACTAATTTTTGCTACTAAAGAGGACAGTGGCATTATCTCTGACAGAAAGAAGACTGTCTTAAAACCAGAAAAATGGCTGCATCTTAACCAATAGTTAACACTGAGTTAGGTTTTGGTAAGACTTGAAGTAATACAGATGTATGTATCTGAGCAATGACTTGTCAGCAGCCATAAACAGCTCTGTGACCACCATTCTGCACTGAGCTGCACTGTTCTGATACTAGATGGAGTGCATGGGGGAGGTGCTTTACAGAAAGATGATTATATACAGTGATTTATGTACAGTGAAAGCTCTGTGAACTGACAGCCATATCCAAAGGGCAATTCTTTGTCTTAAATGAATGCTTTTAAGGCATTGCTCGAATTGCAAATACAATTTACTTTGACCTTTAGTTAAAGGCCCACCTCTACAAGACAACTGATTTTAGAGCTTGTGTGGTTTCTTAAGACAGATATTGCTGCATGGCAATTTTAAAATCTAATTTTCTAACCTTAATGTATTTCTCCACAGGCGTCACAGGTCGAACCTGCAGATGTTCTGGAAGCTCTATCTTGGGGCTTGTGTTTTCTTCCTTATCGTGAATCAACTAAAACCAAAACATCAATGTTAAATGTTGGACTCTGACTTTTGAAATATGCTGTAATATGAGATATTGACACCATTCTCCTCACTGTTGCATCTCAAGTTCCTGTTCTTTCCATGTAAAACAGGGCTACTTATTGTAGTGCTTTGGAATAATAATATTTATTTATTTTTGTTTCAGAAAGTGATATAATTCTGAATTTCAGATGAAAGGCTAAATATTGCTGAGTGATTCCAACTCTCTTAACCACATCACTGCCCCAAAAGGGCTAGAAATGTATTTTGGCATGTATCTTGTATGACCACAAAACAAAGATTGACAAATGATAAATATACATGTTCACCAACAGCAACAATGCGTAGTTTGTCAGCTTTTCAGCCTGTGCAAAGGAGATGTGCATGATGGATGTTGAAGCCTAGAGGACCAAAGTTTTCCAAGGTGTTAACCTGGATGCCTATAGGAATTTTCAAACACTCCTAGGACAGATTAAGTACTTCTAGCACCATGGAAAACACATTTATAACTACTCAGGGGCTGCATGAACCCTGTTCCTTAGCAATGAAATACTGGGATTCCAAACGTACATTATGTGCTACTATATTCTAGTATCTAAACAGCACTGAGAATAGACATCTCTCCAAGTATTTTCTTGTAAATTCCCCCACTGAAAATTTCATTAGCTAGAACCTTCTCCCTTAGACTTTTAAGCTACCATATGGATAGACAAAGGGGAAATATTTTCCTGTCAGTGTGCATCTAGTCCTCGTTAACACTATTGAAAGTCATGCTTCTCAAGAGAAATATACCAGAATACGCACAGCATATAAATTACCTATTTTATTCAGAGGAAAAGTGAGACTTTGAACCCATCTTAAAAGCAGTGCATTTGTTACCTTGGAACTTGGCTTAGTAAAGCACACTCAGTACTTTCCTAGTCTTTTGTGCTGTCATAATTTACGTCTATGTCAATTTGTGTGCAATTTCACATGTTTCTTGTAGGCCGTTCATTTTTACCTCGTCAAGAGGTGTTTTCAAGAATCCCCATTTATGAGACCATGTTTTTGCAGCCTCTAGTTCAGTTTCAATGTATTTTTTCCTGAAACAGAGAAATATTTAAATTACTTTGAAAACTTCCATTAAACTAAAAGGAAAAACGCAAACCCAGCTACTACTGTCGCAAGGCACAGCACTTTAGCATGAAGCTTGAGACCTTTCCCTCAAAATCATCAAGTCTATGCATGAGTTAACAACTTTCTGACTTGGAGGTAACAAGGAAATTAAACAGTAGGTGTGAAAGCACTTGCAAATTATGTTCCTGTTGGGAAGTGGAGGAGGTCAAACGCACTGTGACACACGGAGTCCCAACGCCCCTCCATACATCCTCTCGGTTTACTGACCGATGAAGGGCCCCTTGCCAGCCCCGCTGTCCCTCCTCACCCGCCGGGAAGCACTGCAAGCCCGCGGCCATCACTTGCTTCGCCGGTTCAACCCGGGCTACGCCATTCAGGGGGCTAAACCCCCGGGCGTTGTGCACCTGGCATACTCCGGGTGAGCACACGCACTGTGCGGACGGGCACACGCCAAGTGTGTGCAAATTCCCTCAGCCTCCGTCCCCCCGACAGCGGCATCTCCCCCGGGCGGGAGGGGAGCGGAGCCCCATTACCAGCAGTTGTCCTGCTCTACCATGTTGCACGACTTCGCCAGGTGGCTGCGGCTCTGCGCCATACCCGCGGCGGGGAGGGGCCTGGCCGGGCTCTGCGGCTCGGGCATTGCTGGGCGACGCAGCAGGGGGCAGTGCTCGTGCCGGCGGCCGTTGCAAAAGGGCGGGAAGGGCCGTTGATGCTCTGAGGCTATGGTTTACCCCAGCTGCCCCTGCCGTTTGACGCGGTGTCGGCCCGGAGCCGCGGCTCTCAGGTGAGCGACTGAACCCGCCCCTCAGGGTTTTCTGGTGTCCCGTAGGAAATCAGTCAATGCTCTCTGTGGTGTGCTTGGTTTCAAAATGGTTTTCAGTAGGAAACCGCGTTTGGAGTCATCGTCTCTGCAAGGGCTCACAAATGTGTAGATGAGGTCCGCAGTGACACCCGTTAGTGGTGGCCTCGGCAGAACTGGGGAGTGGTTGGACTGGATGATGTTAAAGGTCTTTTCCAACCCAGCTGATCTTACGATTCAGTGAGTAAGCAGATGAAAAGCTGGTACCTTGCTTGAGGAGTTAGCTGTGTTTCGAGGGAGAGATGTCTAAACTCCACAACTTACTTGGATTAGCCAGGCTCCCCTTAGCAGAAAGCAAGTATTTGGACACCTTTTGGGATACTGAGTTGTTAGGAGTCTTTTTTTAAACCTGGACAAGGGCCAGTGCTACAGCCGAAAACTAGTAGTGTATTTAATTGTTTGTAATGGACATGAGAAATGGTTGAAGGATGATGAATTTTTATCTTTGTAGGGATCTGCTTGTTAAGATGTCCAAAGCTCAGACCCCATGTGCTATGGCGGGTGTTTGTTTCTGTTCCCTACTTTTTTACCCTCCTATCTCCACTCCCTAGTTTCTCTCAGTATACACCAAAATTACCTTTTGGTAATTGTAGTGGGAAATACCATCAGTATTGTGACATACAGAGTCTTTGTGATCTCCTTTTTCTGGCAGATGTTGTCCTTCATCAACTCCATGCTAATATTAGAAGTTCTGGGAAAGACCTCAACATACTTCATGGGTTACATGTGAGAACCCCAAAAATACTTAAGAGTTTGTAGTAAGTTGTCTGTGTTCCAATATATTAATATTTTTGGCTCTCCATCTTTTCTTTATTTTTTCTTTTTGTTATTCTATTTTCTTGCAGTTGCTTTATAAAACATTCCAACAATCAATGTAGCCAGCTGGCTCTTTGCCCTTATGGGTTTAAATAGTTCCCTGACCCTTTCCTTTCTTTTTGTCTGGAAACTGGCTTGTGCAAACACACTGTAAATAGTTAATGTGACTCTTTCACACCACTGGACAGTTATTATCCTTATTATAAAATAAATGCAGAAAGGTTTTGACCTAAGCTGAGTGTTTTATAGGTGGTGTGTTGGAATGCTTAATTGCTAGCTTTTTATTTGTATTTTTTATAGAGCAAAGGATCTAAAGACCTTAAATATTTGAGTAGGAGAAGGCTGTATATACATTTATTAGTCACTTTTAAAGTGCTAAGGACTTCTATTTGAGTAAGGAGAAAAAACTCCTCTAGTCTCAAAATAGCCATTAATGCTATGCTTCTGGGTCTCTCAACATCATTAAACTATCAACAGATAAAATATTTCACTCACATGCCATTTCTTGATGCTGTAATTGATAATTAGACTGGCAATTAAATCAGCTGGGTCTCCTCTCACACCCAGAACTGCTTACTCATTGTCCTACTTAATTAACTCCTGCCGCTTAGTCACACTTGTATCAGGAGTCCTCTTACTACAGCCCTGATGCTTTCTGTGGGAAAAAAAAAGAAAGAAGTTCATTAATGAAAACAGTGAAATCCATAGTTTAGTATGTGTCAGGATTTAGTATGTGTCGAGAGAATGAAACTTCTTACACTAACATTGTGAAAATAGTGCTTTATAATGTTCAGTCTTTCTCTTTTTTGTCCTTAACTGAATTATTTTTCAGTTAAGATAACACAGTAAATGAGCAGTTAGTTGTAGGATGCAGTAAATCAGTATTTAGTTGTAGGTCTTATTAGGCTCTTATGAGCATAGGACAATATTAGAATTGCACTTTCACTCTGAGAAAAAGTGAAATAGGATTTTAATGAGCTAATAACTATATTGAATGACTTGGTAATAGAGGTCCATTTTGATTCAGAAGTCATTTGCTGAAAGTCTGGATCTTGTAGCTTACCTACACCAGCATTTGTCATCACATGACAAATATTGAAGTAGATACTACATCACTCAAGACACATGTTTAAACAGAATCAAGTTTAAACACTTGATGCTTCAGGTCTTCTAAGATGGGTAAATCCTAACCTGGATATGGCCATAAACGCTGAAACGTCAGTACTTCCCGTCCTCTTCCAATTAGGAATTATCCAATTATTCAATAACCAATATATATGCTCAGCAGCGCTGCTGTTGATCAAGTGGCTGTTCTTCAAGAACTCACAACTGGTTTTCAGGAATTTACAACCTGTTTACATCTTGAGAGCTGCAGATTAGTATCTTGAGTTTCAGATATCCTTTCACTTGCACAGGACATCACCCTGCCACTGGGGAAGTGGTTTCAGTCTTGATTTTTCACAGACCTTGTACTCCCTTCTCCCAGCAGATAGTAGAAGTGCTTGCAGTGCTATGTTCAGATGGAGGCTAAGGTACTGATAGAGATTAAAACTAACCCTGTGGAAAACAAGCTGCTTTAACCTAAATACAGTTTTATGTATAGTTGTACAAATGCCTCTACCAGCACATGGCAGAGCAGTGCATGAGGGTTTGGCAGAGGGCACTTCTGGAAGATAATGCAAAGTCCTAGTGTTTACAAAGCTACAAACTTAGGATGTTGTGCTGACACAAGTACAGGTGTCTCTGCAAAATAAGTCAGAGAACCAAAGTGACTTAAATAGACTCTGCAGAAAGAGAAAGTCAGCTCACTGATTTAATCTGTTTCACAGAACACTCCAGAAGCAGTTGTGCTTCTGCGATCAAGACAGCAGACAGAATGGAGACAGGAAAAGGTGATGCGTGAGCTGAAGTGAACAACCCAGGATAGGCGGATATTTTAAACCTCTACTGCTGCAAAAGACTTTGTATCATGCAATGATGCTTTTGTTAGGGTCATTCATGGTCTTCAAGGTTTCAGTTAATTTTTGGTTTCTGGAAATCTCTCGTGTCTACCTTGATCTGAAAATGTTAAGGCTTTTTATATTGCTTATTTGTGGAGAAAAATGTCCATATTAGCACACAATAGCTTTCTGTGTGATAATCTCTGAAGTTACTTGAAAGGAAAAAAAATCTGTTCTCTTTTGGCTCTGTGTAAGTATTTGTAAGTGCTGTTTATGAGCATCTCTAGTTTTTAGCAATCTGTAATTTTTAGTTACAAGGCCAGACCTAGATCCTGTCCTAGATTCTGGCATTACGCTATCAACTATGCAGGTTTATTGCACTCAATGCTGTTGTCAATTGGAAACCAGAATTTTCTGCCTTTCATCAGAGAATGGGTAGGAAAGCTAAAGGAAAAGCTTATTTTTTGTTGTAACGAGAATTTTTAGTGTTTTTTATATTTTCTAGTTCTTAGGCAATAAGTTGTTATTTTATATTCTTCATCACAGAATGACAGTTGGATCTAAATCCTTTATCTCTTCAGGAAGAGCCCTGTGTTGTTCAGATTGGACATTTGCACATACATACACACACCCAGCCACCAAAGATAAGTGAGAATAGTCTATGAGAAGTACAGAGTGATATAAAAAAAAACTATTGCTATTTTACTGCCCTGTATATATAGAAGGTAAGTGAAGGCAGGGCTGGCTTGGCCACTGCATCACATAATGCTGTGGTTGGGTGGGACAGTCCCTGAGCATCTAATCTTGGCTGGGCTTAGAGGAGGTCCTAGACATGTTTTGGCTAAGGACTGTCTTGGCTTTTGGTAGACTTAGGTGTGTAGCAGCATAGAAGTGCTTGGGAGACTCTTCATCCAGTTCTGTCCTTACCCCACATTATAACTGTACTGTATCTTGAATTGTAGTAGCTGCCATAGTCAATGGGAAAACACCAATGCAAATAAAAAAGTATGAGTGTTTTTCAACTTTGGGAGCTAAAAGCTTCCAAGATGAGAAGTATTTGTCGCTAAATCAAGTTTTGAATTGTATACTTGTTTTCTAAATGCTTTTGCAGCACACTAGCCCCTGTAAAGATCTGGTCTAACAGAAATATATCTTCTTGTGGATACAAGCATTATAGTGATTGTTTCTTCATAGGAACAGCTACAGCACAGGGGGCCAGCAGCTTCTAGATCTGTGTGTCCTGCTGGGATAGATGTTTGTAAATGCTGTATTCTATCAGAGAGGTTCAGACAGTGCAATGTAATACATGTGCCATGAATAGCACATGCTAGTGATTTAGGGAATTGTCCCAGAGCTGTGTTGCAAACTCGTATGTGACCAGTAAGTCTTATATGTTCCTGTTGTGCTACAGCTTTTGCAGGATGTCTGGCAGCTCCGTAGAGGCAACTGTCAGGGCTCTGACCAGGTTGTTTGATGGCTGGAGAAGCAGAACAAATGCACTGCACTGATGGGAGATAATAGCAGTGAGGGAGGGGAGAATGCTGATGTTCGTAAGGAAACCCACAGTGGCTTACATCAGTCCATGCTCTCTGGTTTGCTTTGTGAAGGCCTGCACTTCACACTCTAACCACTGCCATCTTCACATCTAAAAACTCACAAAGCAGCTTCAATATTTTTCCAGCTACACTGAGCTTGTTCCCCTCCAATGTCAGCAATTCGAACCTCTGAAAATGAAGCTGTTTGCTGAGGCGTTTACACAGCCAATTGTGTATCTGCTTAGGCTCCTGCATTGAAAATGCTTGCCAAAAAAAAATATTAATTAGTACTGGCAGTTCTGTGCTTGCTGCTCTGTGGTTTGTAATATTAGGTGTGGAAGTCTAATAGAGGATATTGTAAATGTAACTTTAGTGTCTTTTGCTAATGTTTTTAAATAATATTTCAGATATAGGCAGCCTGAAAGGTAGACTGCTTTGTTATGATTGCTGTGA